TGACCCTCACACCATCACAAAGATGTGGAGCCCACAGCCAATAAGGAGGGAATATGCTAATTGACTGCCCCATCTTCAAAGGTGGTGGCACCCACAGCCAATGAAGGAATATGCTAATTGACTGCCACACCCTCAAAGATGGTGGTGCCCACAGCCACAAGATGGTGGCACCCAGTCCCCTCAGCCCCACCGGGCTGGCCCTGGCTTTTTCACATGGTCGTGACAGGACAGCATTTTAAGATGATGGAGCAAAGGCCCAGTCGCATAAGTCAGGTAATATCACATCCACCATGTTGTATTGGTCAAATTATTTCTAGAGCACAGCCAGGAATGAAGGCATGGGAAATAGGCTTCATCTCTAGATGGGAGGTATGATAAAGTCACATTACAAAGGGGCATGCATACTTGGATGGGATGAATCACTGTGGTCATCTTTCAAAGACTCTACTCTAGGAAGAAACTGTAAAATATCTTCAGAGATATCAATACAAGAGCTTGCATTAGAACCTAGTGCGAAACCTATGGCTCCAAAAAGAAAAGACAATGGAGAACCAAGTAAACCATGGAGGCTGATCCCTTGCTTTCTATTATACTTCCTGATGATCTGGACCCAGCAACAATGTGTTTCTTCCCTAGTGACTTAAGTGACTTACAGGAAGTATCTTAGAATGTTCTATGTTTGTATGTAAAACTTCATGGGAAAATATACATAAAGCTCAAAGGAGCTAAAGTAGAGAGCATGGCTCACTGATATTTTATGCCACCAAAGCATGGAAAATTGACCCTTGCTCATCTAACATTATGGAATTATGGAAAAGCTTTGTTTAATTTGAGAATTTCAGTTTCTCTTCTTACCACCAGTGATGCAGAGAACATGGAGGTGGAGGTGTGGTCATATTAGCTATAAATTCAACATCTCTTCAGAGGTGGTTTCTTTCATAACTGCTTATCTTTGTCAAGGGATGTCATGTTGTGGAAGAGACTGTTTCATAGTGTGACCACTGCTGGACCCATTAGCTAGACCTGGGCCAGACAGAGATTGCTTCCTGGAAATCCTTTTAAGGACTATCCAATTGTAATAGACACTTTCCTTCAGACATAGTTTAGTACCTGTGCCCTGTGCCTCACGGCATGTGGTTCCTAAAACAGGCCATTATCCTTACCCAGGCAAGCCTGTGAGGTATTTGCCCTTACATGGGGCAGTGATGTACCAGTACACCTGTCCATCACCCTGATCTATGCCATTCTTAGACACCTGTCAAGCAGTGCGGGGATCCACTTCATCTGGCCACCACCTTAATGTGCCTCGCGTGTAAGGTTCCCTTAAGCTGTTAATTGCCAGACTGGAGTGGCTTCCCTCTTCCTCCAGTTTTTCCCTGCCCTCCACTTGGGCAGATAGACTTTCAGTCCAGGCTGTCTCCTGGGCCTACATGCATGGGACGTGCCATGCTGTTACCTGCATCCACCTTTATCTGCTGGCTGTGGTGCTTGGGTAGAGATTTGGAGAGGGGAAAGCTTGATCCTGGCATCTTCTTCCCTTTGCTTCAGCAGTTTAAGGAGACATGAGATAAAGTGGTCTGCCACATGGCCTTTCTTGCACCTTTCCAGGGTCTTGAAGATTAACTTAAAAATGGAAATCCATGAATCCTTCACCAAACTAAACTACATCACCCAAACTGTCAAATTTACCTGTCCGTACCTCCCTATTCTCCTCTCTCCTGGCCCCCAGAGGTAAATATTGTCCTGAATTTTATTTATAGTTCTTCCACATGCTTTGGAGTTTTATAAAAACAGTATCATACTTTATGTTAAGACATTTTCATTTTCCCCACTCATGACTTTCTAATATTCATCCATATTATGGTTTTAGGCTGTGGCTCATTCACTTTCATTTTATAATATGCATATGTGTGAATATTCCCTGCTTTACCTAATCTCCTATTGATCGATTTTTTCCCATATACAAATATCCACCTATGTAACAGGTTCTTTAAGCAATGGCCTTGGGTGAACTGTGCAATACCAAATTGCTTTTTAAAGCTGTATCCTGTCAGCAGAGTTAGAGAAGTAAAGGCGGTCATTGTGACTAGGAATCTTCTGGCTTTAACCATAAGCTCGCTCTGGATTTGACTGTCAAATCCAGCACAATTTCGATCTCATGTACTATCCCCTTCCATCCTTGTTTCATATTCTCTAGTAAACTTAACTTCTTAGTTGTCATGCCCTCACTTTTAGAAAGAGTTAGTGACTATATTGCCAAGTAAATCACTGAGTTAATGAAAAAATTTCAGACATGCGTATCTTTACATTGACAAAAGTTACAACAAAAGCTAGCTTTTTTGGTGCATTTTTAATGTTCTATGTCTTGAACTGAACCTTTTGCATTTATTATTTCATTTAATTTTCACAACACACAGTAATTATAGATACTTCTGTTGTTTCCTTTTTATAAGTGAGAAGCCTAAGGCTCAGATTGCATAAGTAACTTTTCCAAGGTGTGACTGACTCTGGAGCTTGATGCTGAAGTCATCTTTGCAATTTAAAGTGCATCCTTGATCTGCAGCAGCAACAGCAACACCTGGAACTTGTTAGAAATGCAGAGTCTTGGGCCTCGTCCCAGACCTCCTGAATTCTGAGATGCTATTAACAGGTGAATTTGTTATGCTGCACCCCCAAACTGGTAGATAGATTTAATAATTTACTTAGGATTTAGTAAGGACAGAATATAGGTATCACGATAATTTTAATTTGCATTTAATTTATTTATTCAGGTAGCATTGACACTAAACCAAATCAATTAAATTTGTAATTTATATCCACAAGATTTATATTGGCTCTCTGTGTCTGTGCACGTGCCTGGGTCAAATATTGTATATGTGTTATGCAGAAGATAATTGGTAGAATACTGTTAGCCAGGCTCATAGAGCTGTCACAGTTAGAAATGCCCAACGCTCTGCTCTAAGGGTTTTAGCACTACTGATATGGAAGTTGCTCAACCTGAGTTAGCAATTACATTCTGATGTCATTAAAATGAAATGGCGCCAACAAAAAGGAATAGAAATCTATCTTAACTACAGGTCTGAGATGCTTTATTTCACCCTTACTTACTAATTCCCATTGCATGAGAGGTAGCTATAAAGGTTTCCATAGGTGAGCTACATTGTCGATGAATATGCATCATGAATATGAATAATGACATCATTGTTTTAGTTTCCATGAGCAAATGTAATCTTCAAGGTCATTGCTACTGGATGACAGGTGCCTACAATCTTTATTTTTAAATATTTCTTGACTATTTGCCCTGTGGTTGCATCTCCTTCCTCCAAAATGTAAGTGTAATTTCAACATCAGTGTTTATTTTTGGACCTTCTCTTCCAGTGCTTTGTGAAGTAGATTACTCAATCTTTCCTCATTTTCTCAAGGATACCATATCACTTGTACCCCTCTTCAAATAAGTTCAACTATGAGAAATATCAATTATAATCAGGACAGTTGCTTGCATTTACCGAGCGTTTGCTTTGTCCAATCACTGCCATGCCTTTATATGCAATGAATGGAGGTAAGTTCATTCATTACCTCCATCTCCCATTTAAAGATTTTTTGCATCAAAAGAATATATATTTATTTCTATAATAAAATTCTCCCCAATTTTCTTTATTAAAATAATGTTTTCCTTAAATGTTATAGTTTAGCAAAATAATTTCATAAATATTCTTATTTATATAATAGATTCTTGTTTAACCATTTTGTGCATCTATAATAGAAGCTTAGGTTTCTTAAGATCAATAATCTATATCATAAAAGGCCTGTGGTCACAGTGTTACGACCAAAGGAGCAGCAGCTCTTGGGGAGGCAGGACAGGGCGTGAGCTACACAGCGGAGAGCTACTAGTGGCGATGGGCGGGTTGGCCAGCTGAGGCAAGCAGAAGCGAGCTACTCATGCACGATTTCGTGCACGCTGAACCTCTACTGACTTATAATAGGGGAGGGTGGCTGTGAGAGGGTATATGGGGACACATGTTGAGATTCTGAATATTTTCCATTCAATCTTTCTGTAAACCTGAAACTACTAAAAAATAAAGTCTGTTAATTAAAAAAGAAAAGAATGCCCACACTAAAAATCTACTCCTATCCTTTAACAAATAGAACATACCAGATATTCCTGATGGCCGAAGTGGTGATACTAGATGAAAACCAGAGTCCTGCTCTAAATCTTGGACTCCAACTCCTTTAGGCTCTTGAACTCCTAAAGTCCACTCAGCATTTTAGTGGCAACACCGTGGTTGAGCAGCGTGACAGTGGCCTCACTTCACCTCTGTCTATCAGCAGGACTCTATGGCTAGCAGGAAACTTTCCTCCTGGTTAGCCATTTTTCTGGTGACCTCCTTCTGAGTCCCTTAGAAGAGGATAATGCTTTCTTAATTGCCCAAGATCAACCTTATTTCTTCTATTGTACAGGATGTATATTAGCCCTGGTGAGTTTCTTGCTTTTCCTCTTTAAGTGTCCAAATTACACTATTGACCAAATCATGATGGACCAAAGTTTTTCTGAGTGTGATCAGAAAGCACTATGACTCCTGATGACTGTGATTCTGTAATCACATTTCTGAAGATCATTTCTCCGTGGCTATGATCATAATATCTTCATTATGGTTTTTGGTTGCATGTAATGTGACAATGTTTTCTTCCCTCCAAATAGTAACCACCGGTTACTAATTGATTCTTTCTGTCTGGGTCTTACATGTCACTTCCGTTTCTAAATTTACTTATGTCTTTAAGCTTTTCCTATTGATGTTGTATAGCTTGGTATTCCATTCTTGGGCTATCCTCTATCCAGGTAAATAAATGGCTTCTAACATATGTAGATAAATTACTTACATGATTGTGAAGATATTGCTTTAAATTTGCAGCAAAAAGGTATCTATTCTGGTTTACAAATTTAAGGCCTCTACAAAAACCAATAACCTGATTATTTAACATGTGTCTGCTGTGTTTCACAGGGCTGAATACAACTGTAGCCTTACCCCTGCAGAGAGAAATGAGAGTGAGGGAAAAGGTAAACAGTATCCTTTAAGAGTGCAGAGTAAATGGAAACTCACTGAAAGAATGTTAAGTAGTTGTGGACTCCCCATGCTTTAGAAAAGAATTTCCTTTCAAAACAGCCTGTTTATATAGGAAAGACACTGTGTGTTAGAAATACAGGCAAAATCCCCTTTCATTCACATTTCACAACCATGTGAAATAAGCAGGGGAGACATCCTACTTTACGGAAAAGAAAACTGAGTATTAGAGAAATTAAATTACTTTCTCAAATATTTTCCATTAGAATTTGTCAAAACTGGCAGTGATTTCTATTTTTTTCTACTTCCTAGATTTCTGCAAATGCTTTTCATACTTGGTTAAGGGCCTGCCACATCCTTGAAGCTGACTCTTGTTAGTCACTCAATGTAACAAAGTCTGAGCTTATGATAGATGTGATAAGTAATGACAGTATATTATATATACTGTGTATATTTACATATTAATATATATATACACACACGCATATACACCACTTTCAACTTTTAATAGTCTTTTTTTATATCTATTATTTCATTGCCCATCAAGCCATCTGGGATATGAGGTTTCCCCCAAAAGACACCCCTGAGCCGGACCCAGAAGTGAATGTAAATGCAGTGAAATTTTTTAGGACACCGGATATAACTTCATGCTATTGCAAGAGTCCTTTGTCAGGAGGAGTGCTGTGCTCACAGACCTTCAGAGAACTGCATGTAGGTAGTCTCTAGGAGAAATCAAATCTGCAGAGTGGGCAAGCCAACCAGCATTAACTCACTCAATTGCAGCCCAGATTATATTTTTCAAGAGCTGAAAAATATAGACTTTTCTTTTCTTAGACTTCTTTTCTTACACTTCACTGATCTATTACTTGCATTAATGTGCTGTTTAGTTTGGCTACTTCAAATGAATAACTTTTGTAAAAATAAAATGGTTTTCCTATTGGAAAAATAGTACAGAAATTTTCCCAAAGATTTTTTCCATTTTACCTTCTAAATTTAACTATTTTCCCATACATTTAATTAGGAAAATACAGCTTTTTAAAATCCTCACCCAAGGACATATTTTTATAGCTATTAGAAAGATAGGAAGGAGAAGAGGGAGAGAAATATCAATCAGTTGCCTCCTGTATGCTTTCTGACCAGGGATCAACCTGCAACTGTATCTTGACTGGGAATCGAACCCACAACCTTTTGGTTCACAGGAGGTGCTCCAACTAATTGAGCCACACCAGCCAGGCACAGCTATTTTTAAAGGTATTTTCATATATAGTTGCCAGATTATTTTTAATTTCTTTTCTCTTTTTGTATGTCTCCCAGATGGATATGGTTACAAGAAACATAGTTAGACATTAATATATAGTTCCAGGAGCCAGTCTCTGACTCCATTCCTCCCATATAGAAGAATTTCAGCAGTCAATAATAGTTGGTATTTTTGTTTTAAAGTTTCACACAATTAAAGGGACTTTACTTACACCTTGAGTTGTTCATAGCTAAAAGTATGAATTGTTCATACTTTGAAAGATATTTTGAATAGTGTTAATACTGTTCAGACAATGTATTATGAGAAGATCTCCAGTTTTTACAGCCTTGCTTGAAGGAAAGGTCATTACATGAAGCTATGGAAAGTGCTGCCAAGGCCATGTACAGCAGCCAGCACTGCCCTGGAGGCTGGGCCTTGCTCCTGGACCTGCAGGAGTAAGTGCAAACCCTGAGAACAGCATTTAGGAACATTCATGGTGATTTAAGAGAGTCATTTTATATCTGTTGAATCCTATATAATAAAAGAGAAACATGCAAATTAACCATCCCTCTGCTACGCTCAAGTCTCAACCACAAGCCATGCCCACCAGCCAATCAGAAGCGAGTATGCAAATTAACCCAACTAAGTTGGCAGCGGCCACAGAGCTGGAGTGAGCAGGAGGCTTGGGTTTCCCCCGGCAATGGAGGAAGCCAAGCTTCCCACCTGCCCTGGCTGGCCCTCGGCTCCGCTCAAGTCTACAAAGTTTCAATTATAGAAGATAAATTCCAGACACCTGCTTCCAGCCCGCCCTGGCCTCTGCTCAAGGAGGGGCTGGAAGCCTGGTTTGCCAGAGGCAACCAGGCTTCCAGCTGGACCTGGCCTCCACTCAAGGCTACAAAGTTTCAAATATAGAAGATAAATAAATCCCAGAAAAAAAAAAGGAAAAAAAAGGAGAGGCTAGGAGCTTGGGTCACTGGGGGGCTTGGCCAGCCTGAAAACAGCCATCAGCCCTTCACCCAGGATGGCCAGGCACCCCAGTGGGGACCCCCACCCTGAAGGGGGTGTGGCCAGCCTGAAAACAGCCCCCAGCCCCTCACCCAGGTGGCCAGGCACCCCAACGGGACCCCCACCCTGATCCGGGACACCCTTCAGGGCAAACCAGCTGGCCCTCACCCATGCACCAGGCCTCTATCCTATATAATAAAAGGGTAATATGCAAATTGACCCTAACAGCAGAACAACTGGGAATCACTGGTCACTATGACACACACTGAC